CGGTCGGTGGGTGGTGAGCAATTGCATTGTGCATCACTTGCTTTGTATATTCTATTATTATTATTATTTTATTTCAATTATTAAACTTTTTTTATCTCAACCCACGAGTTTTCTCACTTTTACTCTTCCGATTCTCTCCCCCATCCCACCAAGGTGTGGGGGGGAGTGAGCTGTGTGGTGCTCAGTTGCCGGCTGAGGTGGAACCACAACAGTTAATCTCATATATGTCTGCATTTATCCAGTTCTTCATAAAACATTTCCAATAAAATATTGCAATTTGGGCTAAATATCTCCATGATGACAGGTTTTTTTAGAAAGCTTCCAAAGAGAGTTAAGAGCTTATCAAGAAAAAAAAAAAAAAACCACAAACAGCAAAGTAAGCATTAGAGTTCTCCTTCTGTAATATTCTTCTCTCAACTTGCAATGTCATCCAAAATGCTTCTGAAGTACAAGGACTGGAACTCTACCAAGCTATACTATTGGTATGTGCCACGTGCTGATAAGCAGACCACATATTTCCAAATATGCTCTTAAATTGTGCTAAACAGATGAATTCTATAATGCTAAAGAATGACGGGTTAGCTTAGATCCTAGAAAGTATGGAACTAGGATTTCCAGATCCAGACATACACCCCACACTCGAGATACTTTCTAAATCCTACCCTGCACATTTCTAACCTGTGCGTTTTCTCCCCTTTTTCCAGATATATTCTTTCTCCTAAATTACTAGCCTCTTCCTCCAGTGTCTCACACAAATTCAGTCTTAATTGTATGTTCATGTTTTTTTGGGGAAAAAAAAAAGCCTACTGCTGTAAAAAGTTACCAAACAAGAGGCAAGCAGAAGTGACTTCTCTGAGGATGTCATCTTCCATTCTCCTTGCTACATTTAAAGTTAAGACAAGTTATCTGCCTTTTGAAAGAGTAGATTTAATACTGTACAAATTATCTGAATTCAGTGAGAAGGTAAGTTTGGAAAGAAACAGAATAAACACCACCATTAAATGCAAGATACTCATTTAACTGCTAACAATGCCAAAAGTGACAACTTCAGGAAAATTCATTTACTCAAAATTTGGTAGTTAGGTATTAATTATTACTACCTTATACTTACCACCACTAATTTGCAATACTTTGACACAGTTTGAGTGTGATGTACACAATGTCATAGAAACGTATGTCTAAAAGGGACTTAGTCTTTGTTCCTGCCCCAAGACAAGGTCTGCTACACCTACGCCATTTCCAAGAGACGTTTTTCTAGCCCTCCCTGAAAGATTTTTCAATAATGAAGAGATCGTGACCTCCCCTAGCAATCTATTCTAGCAATTCATTACGCTTGGCATAAAGTGGTTTTCCCAGTCATCAGACTTGAACCTTCTGCACTTTAAATTAAGTTCATTATGTTCTGGATGTAGAGAACAGAGTATTTCCTTCCTGTATGCAGAAGCCTTTAATGTATTTGAAGATTTATGCCTGTTTTCTGTCTTTTCTTCTTCAGCCTCTATAACCATCAACAGATCCTCTCTCCTGAAGTGTAATGCTTATACCTGGGCACAAAACTCCATTGGACGCCTTATCAAGGGTCATTAAAATGAAAGATTGCTCCTTGTGCCTTTCAGGACAATTACCCATTTGAACATCTTACATACTTACCTCTTTCTTAATAACATGACATTATTGACTCAGGCTCTGCATATGAGAACTCCTAAATTGTATTTTGAAGAACTGTTTCTAACCAATTGTTCTCTATCTTACATTTTAATTATTCCTGCTTAAGAATAATAGATACTACTGCAGAAACACACTCCAACTCCCCAGGCTAACTATACGCTGCACTGGATGGAGAGCCTGGATGCATCTGGCATCCATGAGATTCTCCATGCCTTGTGCAGTCAAATGCAAATACAGAATGATAGTGAGTGGGGAATCTCTCCGTTTCTTTGAATAACGTTTTAGATCTGGCCTTAGCTATGGCTTAACTTCTGGAAAGAACCTGTATTCTGAACATCATTAAAATGAGAATAGAATAAAAGAACTCAGTTTGAGTCTGCAGCTGAAATACACCACAAAATTACATTTATTTCAAAAGAACGTATTGCCAAAATATTTTCTGTTAGTCAGTATTCCACAGCATTCAATTCACAAATAGATTGCCTAGATATAAAGTATAATTTAAGCAATGCACAAACCTGTTTTTTTAATAATAAATGAAGAACAGTTTTATGTGTATGGGTACTGACCTTGAACATGGATTCTAACTCTGAAAAGTCATGAAATCCTACACAAAGAACTGAGGTGAGACGTCTGTCAAGATCCACGGTTTTGGCTTTAAATTCAGTGTAATCATCTTCAAACTCCTGTAATGTTAAAAAAAAAAAAAGTATAAAACGCTTGCCTTTCCAATGGGAAGAAAAGCTAATGGGCAATATGGTTGTGCTAAACACATAGCTTGTTTCTGTCACTGAAGAAACTTCTGAGATTTTTGTATTTCAGATTTTTCAGTAATACTTTAACTGACAAGCAATGACCAATGCTATCTAACAGTGATGCTTCTGGTTTGTTTTTTTTTTAGAAACTGAGTTAATAACTGAAGCATTTGCTTAGCAATACCGATTCTTTTTAAATAACAATGTAAGATCAATACAGGTGTGTACCAATGATACAGATATTCAAGGAAAGGAAATGATAAAAATATTTTGTCTAGGAAAAGTGATAAGAGGGATAGCCATCTATGCCAGGTAATATTACTCCTTACTTTTATGCTGGCACTATTAACCCTCCTGTTAAACAAAGAACTTCTCAACAAGTTTATACAAGCCCCAATTATCTCTGCATGTTATCTTTAAGTAGGATATTATGAGCACCAAACTTCAGCTACTCACGTACTTGAAGTCAACTTGCTAAGTAAACAGTATCTTTTGACTCTGACTCATTGTTACATTTAATTAGATTATCTTAAGAATCTGCAGCTACTACATGTATTAGGCAACAGAACAACAGTCACTTTCTATAGCACAGCTGTACTTTCTTAATACTCAAGGTAATTAACCATGTTCATAGATGAGGACTTTTGGAAAAATAATACCAGAGCAGAAAATACAGGTGCATATTAATGCAAGTTCATGCTGGCTCTAAAGGGAGAGCTCCAGCACCTTCTGCTTTGTCCTGTTAGCAACACAAACAGTAACATGTACAAGTAAAGCTACACGTGTTCCTTTGGTAAATATGTTAAACGTTGATCATCTCTGAGAAAATATTCTTCTTTACAACTTGGCTAAATCTCTTTTCTGTTGCAAGCCACTTGGAAAAAAAATAAAATAGAAGTACCAGTAGCCAAGCTGGACATTTAAACAAAATCCAGCCTCTTTGGAAAGGCATATCAAATTAACTTGTTTATTTAAGAATCTTCTTCCTTTCTAACCCCCTCCCCCCCCAACTAATGTGTTTTTTGTTTGGTTGGTTTTTAAACACACTGCATAAAACCATAAATATATACCTAAAACACATGACAGATGAACTACATGCACTTCTTCATAGCCAATAAAGAAATTCAGATTTAGTTCTGTGACTGGGTGTTGTGTGTATTTAAAATACCTGTATTTAACACATCAGAAATCCACTTAAGACAACCAGTCTGAAAAGCCCGTGTCTGTGCCCTGAAAGCTAAGCATCCTTTGGTCCTCTTCAGGGTCAGACCCCCGGTCACACCACAATCCAGACCACTGCTCTGTTCTGGATTTGGGGCAATTGCATCCACATATTAACCAAACACATACTGCACATTGCCTATTCAGAAGCATGTAAAACTTGTTCTTGGAAATACCTGGACACTATTCATATATCATACACTGAATAGCATGAACCTTGAAGCTTCTGACAAACAAATTAGCTTTAAGACGACAGCTACTGTTTGATAAAGCTCCTGATTAGTATTGTCAAACCCAAAGGCAAACAGTTTCTGAAGAACCTGAAAAAAAATAATATTTTAGTGATGACAGTAAAAACAGCGCACTAATTGGTGCTCGGTATTCCACTTGTACTTCTGTCAACACTAAGCCTGCATACATGAGTAAGAGTGGCTCAAACTTGAAAACTAACACTCATTGGCTATGCTGTACTTGGCAACAAACTGGAAAGTCAACAAGCTTACGATGCAGAATGATTGTTCAGAAACGTGCTAAAAGGTTGCTTTTGTCCTGAGTCAGCTTAGTCACTACGGAAGGACTCACTGCCTCGAAAACGGATCAGCTCAAACCATCTGACAATCTATGTCTGGCCAAATGTGATAATTACTGTACTTTACCTAGCAGCTTAAAACTGTTATTCAAACATCTCACTACTATTTACATTTCTATGCACGGAATCCTCCGTAGAGGTAAAGGTAAACCAGACAAACCACGTACAGGCTTGAGAAGGGGTGTCTTGAAACCACATCTCCCACAGACAAGGACACTTCAGAGCGTCAGCATAGAGAGTACAGTATAGTAAGTCTTGACCTTAAGACATGGGAAGCTTTGCTATGGATTTTAAAGCAGTGCCAGGATTTTACCCCAAAGACATTAACAACTTTGCAAGGCTTCTGCATGAATTAAACCTGTGCCATTCATTTAGTTCAAACCTTGTTTACGACCATTCTTCTGGATTTTTAAATTACCTAGATTAAGCCACATATTTGCAAGAAAAAACAGTGCGCATACACACAGATTATATTTCCTGCCACATCTAATAGAACAGTAAATTTCTATATTCTGCTAATAATTATATTATTA